AAGACACGTGAGCGTGTGTTGGTAGTGGATTAAAAACTGTAGATCTTCTAAAGTTGAAGGGAATCATTTAATGGTAGAAATAACAATGGCATAAATAGTTATTAAGCATCTCTGACATGCCAAGAATGTGATAAGTGATGTGGAGGATACAAAGGATGTGAAAGTCATAGTCCATGCATTTGAAGAATTTATAGTTGCATAAATGAAAAATACGTATTGCATTTCTAAAATGAGAGATGATAGTGGGTTGGAAGGCTGACCATTTCTGCATGGTTTCATATGGTGATGACACTTTGGTGGGGATGTCAAAACTCAGGGTTAATGATAAAACTTTGGATAAAGAAACTCAATTTGTTAGTGTACTTTGAGCTAATAGAGATGTCAGAAACTTATTCTTTCTAACCAAACTCAAAAGAAGCTAATGGATAATTAGAATGTTGATGTATTAATGTACAGTGGGGAATATTCTTTTCAAGTGAGGAGAATACTTGTGTAAAATTTACTGATGGCTAATATCCAGTAGAAGATAAAATGAATATTTTTTCAATTCATTAATATTCATTTTATTGATACATTCATTTTGTCATCTGGTTGGTACTAGATGACACTAAAGTTTTACTTTAAATGTATAACAGAATTCTTTCACATCAAAAAGTTTATCTACTAATTACACTTTTAAATATGCAGATTGAGAAAAGACTTCTCATGTTAAGATTTTAATAGTTAAAATATCACAGATCAACATGAGGGAAGCCAGTGTTTTGCAAGAGGATGGTTTGAAAACCGCTGCTACAAATTTGAATGCCTTCTTATCTTGGTGCTTGTCTTTTATGCACTTGCATTTATTAAGGGGTTAAGACTTGATCTAATCTTTGAATGAAGTGTTAGATTTGGATTAGAATAAAAATAGGACATAAAACCTGGAGAGTGAGTAAAGTGTAGGAGAAAGATGTGCAGACAGACCTTTACTAGAATGCAGAGGAGAATCAAGTTAGACTAAAGAGAGAATGTGTTTTTTGGAGACTAGATTTGATAGGCAACATGACCCTACTGTATCATATTAAATTGCACAGTGGATGAGAGTATGATATTTGTTGGAAAAACCTAAACTAAAAGGCTTATAAATCTCTTAACAAGAATATTGGTCTATGTGTCTGTTTTTGTGCCAGTAACATACTGTTTTGATTACTGTAGCTTTATAGTATAGTCTGAAGTCAGGGAGCATTATTCCTCCAGCTTTGTTCTTCTTTCTCAAGATTGTTTTGGCTATTTGGAGTCATTTGAGAGATTATCATACTAAGTGAAGTAAGGCAGACAGAGAAAGACAAATATCATATGATATCACTTATATGTGGAATCTAAAAAAATGGTACATATGAACTTATTTACAAAACAGAAATAGATTCACAAACATAGAAAACAAACTTGTGGTTACCAAAGGGGAAGGAGGGTGAGGGATAATTTAGGAGTTTGGGATTAACATATATGTATTGCTATATATAAAATAGGTAAACAACAAGGGCTTACTGTATGGCACAGGGAACTATATTCAAAACTTATAATAAACCATAATGGAAAAGAATCTAAAAAAGAATATATATATATATATATATATATATATATATATATACACACACACACGCAGACATATATATGTATACAATGGAAGCACTTTGTTGTACACCTGAAAATAACACATTGTAAATCAACTATACTTCTATTAAAAAAAAGAATAGTGAAATTTGGAGTGATAATTTCCACTTAACAATTGGATGTTGCTAAGATGCTAAGTATGACATGCCATGTAATAAAATTTATTTGAATTTTTCCACTCCATGAACTTCATTTTCAAAATGTTAACGATTTGGATGATAAAGGGAGCTTACTTTGTATTTACCTTCTGTCAGCACTTGTTAAAAGTCACTTTACAAGCAGTTCTTTGAAACATTATTTGGAGAATCAGCTATTCTGAACTATGATGTGAACTATGAATGTGTCTGGTTTTAAACCACCTTTGCCTCTCAAAGCTGTTTTTTTTAGATGATAATTTAATAGATAGGCTCTTTGAGGCAAAAAGTAGCATAACACATATAATGCAGAGTTATTATCAAATCTTCTTTCAATATTTCTTCCCATATCTCCACTAAATCTTATTTAATAACATCAAATTGAGTTATAGAATATATTAGAACTGTAAGGGATCTTGCGTCACATGGTTGCAATCTCTTTGTTTCTCTGGAATCCTCTAAGGGATTGGAGGAAATATAATTCAAAGTAGTCTTTTTTTTCTAGGTGGTTCCTAGGGACTAGCCCAACCTTATAACCTGGCCAAGATTGCAACATTCTGCTCTGTATCTACAGTCAAGCCTTCTTGTGTTCTTCTGACATCTTGTTTGCTTCACATGGTGAAGCAAAACATGCTTTCTTTATTTGATCCCTTTTTGTTAATTTTGATACTCAGTTTCATAGCATTTATCCTCCCACAAATGAATAGAATATGGCAAATTTATTTTTGTGTCATGAATTTGGTGAATGTAGCAATGCTAGTTCCCACCTTCACTGTGTATTCATCAGTGAGATGCTTAATTGGGTGTGTTGACTTGGCTAGGCCACAGTATCCAGATGTTCAATGTTCAATAGATAAAACACTAGTCTAGATGTTGCTGTGGAGGTATTTTATGACAAGATTAACATCTAAATCAGTAGACTTTGGGTAAAGCAAATTACTCTCCCATAATGTGGGTGGCCCTCACCTCATCACAGTTGAAGGCCTTAAGAGAAAAAGACCAACTTCCCTGAGGAAGAGGGAATTCTGCCTGCAGGCTGCCTTCAGGCTCAAGTTGCAACATCATCTCTTTCTTGGGTCTGCAGCATGCAGACCTAGACTGGCACAAGTCAAGTCTTGCAGATTTTGTGCTTGCCAGCCTCCATAATTGTGTGATACAATTTCTTTTCTTTTTTCTTTTTTTTAACATCTTTATTTCAGTATAATGCTTTACAATGGTGTGTTAGTTTCTGCTGTGTAACAAAGTGAATCCAGCTATATGTGTACATATATCCCGATATCTCCTCCCTCTTGTGTCTCCCTCCCACCCTCCCTATCCCACCCTCCCTATCCCACCCCTTTAGGTGGACACAAAGCATAGAGCTGATCTCCCTGTGCTATGCGGCTGCTTCCCACTAGCTATCTATTTTACATTTGGTAGTGTATGTGTCCATACCACTCTCTCACTTCATCCCAGCTTACCCTTCCCCCTGCCCCATGTCCTCAAGTCCATTCTCTACATCTGCATCTTTATTCCTGTCCTGCCCCTAGGTTCTTCAGAACCACTTTTTTTTTTTTTAGATTCCATATATATGTGGAATATGAGGAATATAAATTCCTCTCTGTCATTCCCTATCTATCTATCTATGTAGATCTAGATCTATAGTTTCTCAGGAGAATCCTGACTAATATAATCAGTCAATCAGGATTAAGGATCTACCTCTGGCCAAAATTCATTTAAAATCCTAGAGTTAGAGTTTAAAGTGAAAGTGAAAGACTAGAGTCACATTTTGTAGATGAATGAATCAGTCTTCGTAAGTAAAGAGAAGAAAAATAGAAGTCCAAAAACAAGAAAATAATTTACTCAATGATTTTATTTTTGTCCAGTAGCTCAATCCTTCAAATAGAAGGGGATTTCACTGTATCAGAGATTAGTTACCATTGGGAGCGGATCCAGGTTTTGCTCGTATAGTTTAGGGAGCTGTATTTAAGAAGAGAATATAAAAGTACTACTACCAAATTAGGTATGGAAGTGAATATTTAGGTTGAGAAGAGGAATCACAACAATTTACAAAAGTTTAAAAGCTGAAAAATACTGCAAACATAACGAAATCCACAAAGAAAACGTACACTTTTTATTAACTAATTGCCTGATATACCTGTACATTACTACCCCCCAGTAGTTTTTATTTATTTATTTTTTTAATTTTTTTTTGCGGTACGCGGGCCTCTCACTGTTGAGGCCTCTCCCGTTGTGGAGTACAGGCTTTGGACGCGCAGGCTCAGCGGCCATGGCTCACGGGCCTAGCCGGTCCGTGGCATGTGGGATCTTCCCGGACCGGGGCACGAACCCGTGTCCCCTGAATCGGCAGGCGGACTCTCAACCAATGCGCCACATGGAAGCCCCACCCCAGTAGTTTTTTGGTGTATATTATTGATTATCACTTGAGAATATACAGATAATTTAGTCCATAAATTCCACACTACCAACAAACTTCCATGCCAGACACTGTAAGATACATTCACATGGAGATGGGACTTTGACTTGCACCTTCCTGTCATGATGGGTGAACAGACCTAGTCTTTATTGGAAAGACTTTATTGAAAGTCTTTCCTTTCCTCAGATGGCTGGTAATCACTTAACTGTACATCCATGTGACTGTAAGCCATATAAATATATCCTGCAAAGCTCAAACTAAATGTGTCCATACTTACCTTTCCTTACCAGAGTCTAAAAACCCCACAGCCACTCCTTCACCACCCAACTCAAGGGGACATGTGAGGGAAGGGAATTCAGAGAAAGAGACAAAGGACCTTAAGATAAGGTATCCTCATTTTGTGATTTTTACAGAAACATACAATTATGTGAACATGGCCTTGGAAGGGCCCTGGGTGAATGAGAGCCCCAAAGTTTAAGCCTCTGGCTACCATAGTTACGTGAAAGTCTTCTCTTTTCCCGCTTCCAAATAAGTTTTCAAAGAATCACTTATTCATGTAAATTTATTATATGTTTTTGTGCTACTGGGATTAATGTGTGAAATTTTCCATAATTAACTGTAAATATTTATACTGTGAATGTGGGAACTACATATGAATGGGAAATGAAATATCTTTAAATCATAAATTTACAATGAATGTATTAGAACAGTGTAATTGAATCTTGTTTATAATTATAGTAGATGTACAATAATAGCTGTTTTTTTTTTTTTAATGGCCTTTTCTTTTTTATCCCCAGAAGGGCAGAGGGAAGGAACAAGAAAAAAGTAGAACAGACCAGCTTTTATCATGGGAGGCTGACTTCAAAATCAAAATATGTTCTGGAGCCATTCATAGTTAGAACTGATTTCAAAATAAAATTACCATTGGCTTTCAAGTGGAAATTACAGGGAGAAAATGTTAATAAAAATGTAATGGTTATAATGGCAACTCTAATGATGATGATGTTATGTGCGTGTGGTTAGATGAATGATTATATAATCTGTGACACTTTTTTTTTTAGTCCATAGAGGTAGATTAAAATTGGTACTTATGGGATCATAATTTATTCACATCTCCCTAGCTCATTAAAATTACTTTGTCATTATGTCTAAATTCTCATCTTGTGATAGGGCCACGCACATAACGGCACAGAGAATTGGACTGACGGGAACTTTCAGTCAGTTCCAATTCTGCTTTAATTATTCACGGGACTAAAGACTCTCTCTATAAAATCAGTTATTTGGCATCTTCTCATTGATTCTGAAAGAGGTTTATACATGAATATGCAAAGGAATCTGTGGCAGGCTGGTGCATTGGTGGCCTCTCAATGCTAAAGCCTTTGCATAGCCCCTTCCACAAGGACTCTGGGCATGACCTCCTAACTGGCTGTAGTCAAAGGACATTAACAAATGTGACATAAGCAAGGCTTGTTGAGAGCATACACATTCAAGTTGTCCTCTTAGAAAACTCCATCATGGAACACAGATATCATAGCGTGAGGAAGTCCAGGCTATGTTGCTATAGAGAGAGCCTTGTGGAATGGTCATGGAGGATGAGACACCAATTCTTCTGGGTGAAAGAAAACCAAGGTGCCCTAGACGAGTTTCCAGTTGAATGTCACCATACAAGAGACCTCAGGTGACACTACAAAGACTAGAAGCACACAATCAACCCACAAAAAATGTGAAAAGAGTACATCATTGTAGTTTTTTTTTTTTAACATTGTTATTGGGGTATAATTGCTCTACAATGGTGTGTTAGTTTCTGCTTCATAACAAAGTGAATCAGCCATACATATACATATATCACCATATCTCCTCCCTCTTGCATCTCCCTCCCACTCTCTCTATCCCACCCCTCTAGGTGGTCACAAAGCACTGAGCTGATCTCCCTGTGCTATGTGGCTGCTTCCCACTAGCTGTCAGTTTTGCATTTCGTAGTGTATATATGTACGTGCCACTCTCTCACTTCGTCCCAGCTTACCCTTCACCCTCCCCATGTCCTCAAGTCCATTCTCTATGTCTGCATCTTTATTCCTGTCCTGCCCCTAGGTTCTTCAGAACCACTTTTTTTTTTTTTTTTTTGGATTCCATACATATGTGTTAGCATACAGTATTTATTTTTCTCTTTCTGACTTACTTCACTCTGTATGACAGACTGTAGGTCCATCCACCTCACTACAAATAACTCAATTTCCTTTCTTTTTATGGCTGAGTAATGTTCCATTATATATATGTGCCACATATTCTTTATCCATTCATCTGTTGGTGGACACTTATGTTGCTTCCATGTCCTGGCTATTGTAAATAGAGCTGCAGTGAACATTGTGGTACATGACTCTTTTTGAATTATGGTTTTCTGAGGGTATGCCCAGTAGTGGTATTGCTAGGTTGTATGGTAGTTCTAGTTTTAGTTTTTGAGAAACTTCCATACTGTTTTCCATAGTGGCTGTATCAATTTACATTCCCACCAACAATGCAAGAGGGTTCCCTTTTCTCCACACCCTCTCCAGCATTTATTGTTTGTAGATTTTTGGATGATGGCCATTCTGACTGGTGTGAGGTGATACCTCATTGTAGTTTTGATTTGCATTTCTCTAATGATTAGTGATGTTGAGCATCCTTTCATTTGTTTGCTGGTGATCTGTAAATCTTCTTTGGAGAAATGTCTATTTAGATCTTCTGCCTATTTTTGGATTCGGTTGTTTGTTTCTTTGAGCTGCATGAGCTGCTGTAAATTTTGGAGATTAATCCTTTGTCAGTTGCTTCGTTTGCAAATATTTTCTCCCATTCTGAGGGTTGTCTTGTTTATGGTTTCCTTTGCCGTGCAAAAGCTTTTAAGTTTCATTAGGTCCCATTTGTTTATTTCTGTTTTTATTTCCATTTCTCTGGGAAGTGGGTCAAAAAGGATCTTGCTGTGATTTATGTCATAGAGCGTTCTGCCTCTGTTTTCCTCTAAGAGTTTTATAGTGTCTGGCCTTACATTTAGGTCTCTAATCCATTTTGAGTTTATTTTTGTGTATGATGTTAGGGAGTGTTCTAATTTCATTCTTTTACATGTAGCGTTCCAGTTTTCCCAGCACCACTTATTGAAGAGGCTGTCTTTTCTCCATTGTATATTCTTGCCTCCTTTATCAAAAATAAGGTGACCATATGTGTATGGGTTTATCTCTGGGCTTTCTATCCTGTTCCATTGATCTGTCTTTCTCTTTTTGTGCCAGTACCATACTGTCCTGATTACTGTAGCTTTGTGGTATAGTCTGAAGTCTGGGAGCCTGATTCCTCCAGCTCCGTTTTTCGTTCTTATGATTACTTTGGCTATTCGGGGTCTTTTGTGTTTCCATACAAATGGTGAATTTTTTGGTTCTAGTTCTGTGAAAAATGCCATTGGTAATTTGATAGGGATTGCACTGAATCTGTAGATTGCTTTGGGTAGTATAATCATTTTCACAATGTTGATTCTTCCAATCCAAGAACATGGTATATCTCTCCATCTGTTTGTATCATCTTTAATTTCTTTCATCAGTGTCTTATAGTTTTTGGCATACAGGTCTTTTGTCTGCTTAGGTACATTTATTCCTAGGTATTTCATTCTTTTTGTTGCAATGGTAAATGGGAGTGATTCCTTAATTTCCATTTCAGAATTTTCATCATTAGTATATAGGAATGCAAGAGATTTCTGTGCATTAATTTTGTATCCTGCTACTCTACCAAATTCATTGATTAGCTCTAGTAGTTTTCTGGTAACATCTTTAGGATTCTTTATGTATAGTGTCATGTCATCTGCAAACAGTGACAACTTTACTTCTTCTTTTCCAATTTGGATTCCTTTTGCTTCTTTTTCTTCCCTGATTGCTGTGGTTAAAACTTCCAAAACTATGTTGAATATTAGTGGTGATAGTGGGCAGCCTTGTCTTGTTACTGATCTTAGAGGAAATGGTTTCAGTTTTTACCATTGAGAATGATGTTGGCTGTGGGTTTGTCATATATGACCTTTATTATGTTGAGGTTAGTTCCCTCTATGACTACTTTCTGGAGGGTTTTTATCATAAATCGGTGTTGAATTTTGTTGAAAGCTTTTTCTGCATCTATTGAGATGATCATATGGTTTTTATCCTTCAATTTGTTAATATGGTGTATCACATTGATTGATTTGCATATATTGAAGAATCCTTGCATTCCTGGGAAAAACCCCACTTGATCATGGCCTATGATCTTTTTAACGTGCTGTTGGATTCTGTTTGCTAGTATTTTGTTGAGGATTTTTGCATTTATGTTCATCAGTGATGTTGGGCTGATGTCTTTGTCTGGTTTTTGTATCAGGGTGATGGTGGCCTCGTAGAATGAGTTTGGGAGTGTTCCTCCCTCTGCTATATTCTGGAAGAGTTTGAGAAGGTTAGATGTTAGCTCTTCTTTAAATGTTTGATAGAATTCGCCTGTGAAGCCATCTGGTCCTGGGCTTTTGTTTGTTGGAAGATTTTTATCACAGTCTCAATTTCAGTGGTTGTGATTGGTCTGTTTATATTTTCTATTTCTTCCTGATTCAGTCTCAGTAGCTTGTGCTTTTCTAAGAATTTGTCCATTTCTTCCAGGTTGTCCATTTTATTGGCATATAGTTGCTTGTAGTAATCTCTCATGATCCTTTGTATTTCTGCAGTGTCTGTTATTATTTCCCCTTTTTCATTTCTAATTCTGTTGATTTGAGTCTTCTCCCTTTTTTTCTTGATGAGTCTGGCTAATGGTTTATCTATTTTGTTTATCTTCTCAAAGAACCAGCTTTTAGTTTTATTGATCTTTGCTATTGTTTCCTTCATTTCTTTTTTTGTTTGTTTGTAGCCTTCATTTCTTTTTCATTTATTTGTGATCTGATCTTTATGATTTCTTTCCTTCTGCTAACCTTGGGTTTTTTTTTTTGTTCTTCTTTCTCTAGTTGCTTTAGGTGTAAGGTTAGGTTTTATTTGAGCTGTTTGTTGTTTCTTGAGGTAGGATTGTATTGCTATAAACTTCCCTCTTAGAACTGCTTTTGCTGCATCCCATAGGTTTTGGGTCATTGTGTTTTCATTGTCATTTGTCTCTAGGTATTTTTTGATTTCTTCTTTGATTTCTTCAGTAATCTCTTGGTTATTTAGTAGTGTATTGTTTAGCCTCCATGTGTTTGTATTTTTTACAGATTTTTTTCCTGTAATTGATATCTAGTCTCATAGTGTTGTGGTCAGAAAAGATACTTATTATGATTTCAATTTTCTTAAATTTACCAAGGCTTGATTTGTGACCCAAGATATGATCTGTCCTGGAGAATGTTCCATGAGCACTTGAGAAGAAAGTGTATTCTGCTGTTTTTGGATGGAATGTCCTATAAATATCAATTAAGTCCATCTTGTTTAATGTATCATTTAAAGCTGTGTTTCCTTATTTATTTTCATTTTGGTTGATCTGTCCATTGGTGAAAGTGGTGTGTTAACATCCCCTACTATGATTGTGTTACTGTCAATATCCCCTTTTATGGCTGTTAGCATTTGCCTTATGTATTGAGGTGCTCCTGTGTTGGGTGCATAAATATTTGCAATTGTTATATCTTCTTCTTGGATTGATCCCTTGATCATTATGTAGTGTCCTTCTTTGTCTCTTGTAATAGTCTTTATTTTAAAGTCTATTTTGTCTGATATGAGCATTGCTACTCCAGCTTTCTTTTGATTTCCATTTGCATGGAATATCTTTTTCCATCCCCTCACTTTCAATCTGTACATGTCCCTAGGTCTGAAGTGGGTCTCCTGTAGACAGCATATGTACAGGTCTTGTTTTTGTATACATTCAACCTGTCTACGTCTTTTGGTTCGAGCATTTAATCCATTTACAAATAAGGTAGTTATAGATATGTATGTTCCTATTGCCATTTTCTCAATTATTTTGGGTTTGTTATTGTAGGTCTTTTCCTTCTCTTGTGTTTCCTGCCTAGAGAAGTTCCTTTAGCTTTTGTTGTAAACCTGGTTTGTTGGTGGTGAATTCTGTTAGCTTTTGCTTATCTCTAAAGGTTTTAATTTCTCCGTAGAATCTGAATGAGATCCTTGCTGGGTAGAGTAATCTTGGTTGTGGGTTTCTC